ATATACACGTAGTTGGAAGTATCCTCTATCAGATAATATCACATTTTTATTGAAATTGTTTCTAGACTTTAAACAAAAAATGTTTTTGTAAAACGCACGAAAATAGAGTTCAAAGAAAATGGGTGCCAAAAGCGACATACCTATTGGAAGTTATATAACATATTGCATATAGGATAATATTTGATAATAAATAGTTCGTTGATGTGTTTAATGGTTGAATAATATTCATTTTATTTAAAAGCAATATTTATGTTAGTTAGTGTTCACTGATATATATAATTACAAATAATTATTGAAAATGATTTACACCCTAACAGCACGCGACGTACTGCGTATCATCCCATTTTCGTACTCATTGTACTGTGATCATCTGTGACGTACTAAGTTGAAGGCTAGAACGTCACTTATAGTATCATTCGGTTTTCTTTCACGTGCGAATGTTCTCAGATTTCACTCAGGGATACGGAAATGATATGTACGCTTTTCTGTCGCGTGCGTACATTCTCAGGTTTGACTGAAATGATACGGACGCATTTGTATCGCGCGTGTATTTACTCAGAACGTACTCATTCGATCGCAGTACATATGAGAACATTCTGAGATGATTGCAATATACGCATTGCGATCAATTCAGAACGTCCTCAGAACGTCCCCGTGCCGTTAGGGTTATACCGTTTTTTCGGAGAAAATAATCTTTTTAGATTTAATATTCGTACATGTTTAATTTTGTGGTTCTTTTTTATTTCATTAAAATATTATATTCTTAAACGAAATATCATTTTTTGAAATTATGAAAATAAAACTTTTATTTCGTTCAAGGAAACCATTTTTTTTTGTTTTTGTTTTTTTTTTTGGTAAAGCAGGGGAAATGCATTACGCACACCCCCCGGGGGTTGACGACTCCCCGGGAGGTAGTGTGGGATTCTACCCCCCCGGAGCGAATTGCCGGGGAGGGCCTACCCACTAAAACCCCTGCCGAGTCCCTTCCTCGGTGGCCGTAACGAAAGTGCCTCGAGAAGCTTTTCGCATCCTTCCGGGGCGCCCCCAGCCGCTAGAGGCTCACGCCGTCCGTTCTCGGGCCGGAGGGTAGGTGCCGCCAGGTATGACGACACCAACGACCGTCTCATCCGCTCCATGAAGGTGCGGCGGGGAGGTATACTCCCTCCGGCCGTTTCCGTCGCATAACCGCGCGGCGCGGAACCCCACGCCGCACGGCCCATCCCCTCTTGGGGGGAGGGGACCGGTTCGCCACCCGGTCACCCGTTCCTAATTCCATAGGTCCCGGCCGACTTACAGGAGGGAGGAACAGGCCTGCGTCGGCCCCCTCTCCTTCTGCGGTCAGAAGCCCCCTATCCCGGGAGAGGGGGGAGCGGCAACGAGTGCGCCCGCATTGCCCCCCCCTCTCCGAAGGAAGGGCGCGCATCGCCGACACCCCCCCCCCTCTCTCCCGCCAGCCGCTCCAGACGCCGCCGCCGAGTGTTGGCGGCGCCTGTCACGGACGGAGGGATTGGAGCCGCCGCCTGCGGGCTTCTAGTGCCCTAGCGGCGGCGGCCTCCCTCCTCTGGCGTCTGTCTTCGCGCCGCCTCCTCCTCTGAGGGCGCAGCCGGCGCGGCGAACTCGCCCCCCCTCACAATCACTTCCCCCCGTCTGGCCCTCTCCTGCTCCTTCTTCTGCGACATAACTTCTTCGCAGAAGGAGGTGACAGCTGACCAGGCCTCTCGCCCCCCTAGCATGGCCCTGATAAAAGCCGGGGGCGAGAAGTCCACTCCCACCACGCTTGCGAGGACACGGCGCTGTCCCTCCCACGCCGGGCATTCGCCCAGCGTATGTTGCACCGTGTCCTCAGCCGCATCACAATGGTGGCAGCGGCTGGCGCACTCCTTCCGGACGACCTTATGCAAGTACTCACCGAAGCAGCCATGGCCGGCGAGCACCTGGGTTGTCCGGAACGTGAGATCTTCGTGTGCCGTGCCTATCCACTCCTGTAGGCAGGGCAGGATGGCATCGGCGACCCTCTTCCCAGAGCGGCCCGTCGCCTCCTTCCAGCGGAGGAGGAGACGTTGTCGGGCCTGCTCCCTAGCAAGGGCTATGGCCCTGGAAAGTTCCGTCCCGTTGTTGTTCCCCCGGCGGAGCTCCCCAGTACGCCGATAGTTTTCGGCGCACATCATAGCAAGGAGCTCCACCGAGGGGATTCCTGCTAGGGCCGTGGCGGCCGCGTGCGACGCGGCCCTATAAGCCCGGGCGAGGCGAGTGGCCATAAACCTCTGGGCCCGGCGGACCTGGTCGTATGCGATGTTCCACAGAAGAGAGCCGATTACTGACCCCTGCGGAACACCGCAATACACCCCCCCTTCCGCATTGGAGTTCCGCTTTATTGCGGAACTCCAAGCGCCTGTCCCGGAAGTAGTCCCTTATTATGTGGATCAGGTAGAGCGGGAACCCAAAGTGGGCCATTCCCGCCTCTACCCGGTCCCAGGGGAGGGTATTAAAGGTGTTGGCTATATCAATTGATATAGCCAACGCCACCCTCTCCTCCCTCACGATGGCCTCCGAGAGGGACCTGACGCGCTTGATCGCGTCCACAGTCGATCGGCCCTCTCAGAAGCTATACTGCGCGTCGCTGAGCGCGGGACCATTCCGGGACAGGTGCCGGACGAGGCGGGCTTGTATGATTCTTTCGAACATTTTGCCCGCCTCGTCCAACAGACACAGAGGTCAGTATACGGAAGGGGTGTCCTCCGGCTTGCCTTCCTTGCGTAAGAGGACCAGTCTGGCCCTCTTCCACGGGGCCGGAAACAGGCCAGCCTCGAGGCAGAAGGAGAATATCCGCCTAAGGCGGTCCCCAAACCTCCCTTCTTTGGCCAAGGCCAAAGCCCATACTCGGCCCGGGATGCCGTCAGGGCCCAGCGCTTTTCCCTTGGCGCCGAGCCTCTTGGCGGGTCGCCTCATCTCCTCCATCGTCACCCCGAGCTCCTCCTCCTCCCAGTCGGAAGGAAGTCCCGTATAGTGTGGGATATTGTTCCCCATCCTCGGGAATAGCCCATTCACAATTTTGTCGAGCAGCTCGGGGTTAAGGGTGTCCGTAAGTGGGGGCGCCCATGGGCGCAATCGCCGTATTACCATCCGGTATGGGCGCCCCCAGGGATCCCGGTCTACGGAGAATATGAGGTCCTTT